TGGTGACTTGTGTGTGTGACGTGTGTGGTGGATTTGTGTGCGGTGGACTTGTGTGCGGTGGACGTGTGTGATGTGTGGTGGACTTGTGTGTGTATTGTGTGTGGAGTGACAGTGTGGGTGGACTGTGTGTGGTGTGGTGGACTTGTGTGCGGTGTGGACCTGTGTGCATTGTGTGTGATTTGTGGAGTGGACTTGTGTGCAGTGGATTTGTGTGCGTGGACTTGTGTGCGGTGGACTTGTGGACTGTGTGGGTGGACTTGTGTGTGGTGGACTTGTGTGTGGTGGACTTGTGTGTGGTGGACTCGTGGACCTGTGTGCGGTGGACTTGTGTGCAGTGGATTTGTGTGCGGTGGACTTGTGTGCAGTGGATTGTGTGCGGTGGACTGTGTGCGGTGGATTTGTGTGCGGTGGACTTGTGTGCGGTGGATTGTGTGGTGATTTGTGTGCGTGGACTTGTGTGCAGTGGATTTGTGTGCGGTGGACTTGTGTGCAGTGGATTTGTGTGCGGTGGACTTGTGTGCAGTGGATTTGTGTGCGGTGGACTTGTGTGCGGTGGACTTGTGTGCGGTGGACTTGTGTGCGGTGGATTTGTGTGCGGTGGACTTGTGTGCGGTGGACTTGTGTGTGGTGGACTTGTGTGTGGTGGACTTGTGTGTGGTGGACCTGTGTGTGGTGGACTTGTGTGTGGTGGACCTGTGTGTGGTGGACTTGTGTGTGGTGGACTTGTGTGTGGTGGACCTGTGTGTGGTGGACTTGTGTGTGGTGGACTTCGTGGACCTGTGTGCCTGTGTGTGCGGTGGACTTGTGTGCAGTGGATGTGTGCGGTGGACGTGGTGTGTGCGGTGGACTTGTGTGCAGTGGATTTGTGTGGACTGTGCGTGGATTGTGTGCGGTGGACTTGTGTGCAGTGATTTGTGTGCGGTGGACTTGTGTGCAGTGGATTTGTGTGCGGTGGACTTGTGTGCAGTGGATTTGTGTGCGGTGGACTTGTGTGCGGTGATTGTGTGCGGTGGACTTGTGTGATTGTGTGCGGTGGACTTGTGTGTGTGTGGTGGACCAGTGGATTTGTGTGCGGTGGACTTGTGTGCAGTGGATTTGTGTGCGGTGGACTGTGTGTGATTTGTGCGGTGAACTTGTGTGTGGTGGACTTGTGTGCAGTGGATTTGTGTGCGGTGGACTTGTGTGTGGTGGACTTGTGTGCAGTGGATTTGTGTGCGGTGGACTTGTGTGCAGTGGATTTGTGTGCGGTGGACTTGTGTGCGGTGGACTTGTGTGCAGTGGATTTGTGTGCGGTGATTGTGCGGTGACTTGTGTGCGGTGACTTGTGTGCAGTGGACTTGTGTGCAGTGGATTTGTGTGCGGTGGACTTGTGTGGTGGATTGTGGTGCGGTGACTTGTGTGTGGTGGATTTGTGTGCAGTGGATTTGTGTGCGGTGGACTTGTGTGTGGGTGGATTTGTGTGCGGTGGACTTGTGTGCGGTGGACTTGTGTGCAGTGGATTTGTGTGCGGTGGACTTGTGTGCGGTGGACTTGTGTGCAGTGGATTTGTGTGCAGTGGATTTGTGTGCGGTGGACTTGTGTGTGGTGAACTTGTGTGCAGTGGACTTGTGTGGCAGTGGATTTGTGTGCGGTGGACTTGTGTGTGGTGGACCTTGTGTGGTGGACTTGTGTGCAGTGGATTTGTGTGCGGTGGAACTTGTGTGTGGTGAACTTGTGTGCGGTGGACTTGTGTGTGGTGGACTTCGTGGACCTGTGTGTGGTGGACCTGTGTGCGGTGGACTTGTGTGTGGTGGACTTGTGTGCGGTGGACTTGTGTGCGGTGGACTTGTGTGCGGTGGACTTCGTGGACCTGTGTGTGGTGGACTTGTGTGTGGTGGACTTGTGTGTGGTGGACTTGTGTGTGGTGGACTTGTGTGTGGTGGACTTGTGTGCGGTGGACTTGTGTGCGGTGGACTGTGTGGTGGACTGTGTGTGTGGTGGACTTGTGTGCGGTGGACCTGTGTGCGGTGGACTGTGTGTGTGGTGGACTTGTGTGTGGTGGACTTCGTGGACCTGTGTGCGGTGGACTTGTGTCAGGTGGACCTGTGTGTGCGGTGGACCTTGTGTGCGGTGGACCTGTGTGCGGTGGACTTGTGTGCGGTGGACCTGTGTGCGGTGGACTGTGTGCGGTGGACTTGTGTGCGGTGGACCTGTGTGTTGGAACTGTGGGCTGAGTTATGCAACGCTGCAGAGAAGCGCTGATTTGTGAAAACACGGGATGTTTCTTGCAGAGGGACCCCTGAAGTTTGCAGAATCATGCACATCTGTGTTTTACAGCTGCAAACCCGACCAGAGACCAGCACTCAGACAAAAATGTGACTGGAGCTGGAATTCAACAGCCGGAAACAAGACCTATCATACTTTGGAAAATTAAAGGCACAGTAAGAAACTTTCTGGAGGAGGTGTGTTTTATTCATGGAATACAAGGTTAAACATTCAGAAATGTCAACAGTAAGCAGCACTTTTTCATTTACATCTTTTAATTTGGCTATAGAATCTGAAATGCTCCTCCACGTCAAGAGGAGCCAGTTGAGGTGGCTCGGGCATCTGTTCCAGATGCCTCCTGGGCGCATCCCTCGGGAGGTGTTTTGGGCATGTGCCACCAGGAGGAGGCCCCGGGGAAGACCCAGGACACGCTGGAGGGACTATGTCTCTGGGCTGGCGTGGGAACACCTCGGAGTCCTCCCGGAGGAGCTGGAGGACGTGTCTGGGGTGGAGGAAATCTGGGAGTCCCTGCTTAGACTGCTGCCCCTGCGACCCGGGCCCGGATAAGTGGAAGAAAATGGATGGATAGAGTCTGAAATCTGATAAATCGATACCAACTAGTAGGCCTATTGAAAATCATTGGTAGTGAAAAATTATGAAGTTGGACTTTTCCTGAACAGTGATATCTTCAGTTTTATCACAACTGTAAAACCACATGGTAAACAAATATTATTATTTTGTGTTGAAAATGACAACAGGCTACTGCTTAAAAATAGCTTTTAAAATGTTCATTTGAACATCAAAACTAGTATCAATTGAGTCTATTCTTTAGTAGGCCTATCTAATTCAAGTTTGAAATTCTAATATAGTGACTGACAACACTGCAAGTCTACATGACATGTTTGAACCTATCTATTTTTCCTTCTATTTTTTTTTTTTAAATCTCTAATATAATAAGTACAGAAAAGTGGCCAGAGATAGGGGCAAGTGATTAGTGAAGTAATTTGTTATTTCAAAAAACAAAGTTAACCTTCTGGTTGCCCTGTTTGGTCTATTTAGTGTGTAGAATATGCACTTTTTTCACTTGTATTAGAGTGAAATAGTAGACCTACCTTGTGAAAGTGGGGCAAGTTGCAGTGTGCTGGGACGTGCTGTGATGGTCCTGATATATCTAAGCTCATAGATAAAGACTGCAATAAAACTGTATGATTTTCAATGTTTATCACTTAAAACACAGAGTTTGGAATTGCAATAGATCAGATCATTTACCAGAAATACACCTATCCAAAACCGAACACCTGACTCTTTACCAGCTAATGTGAGTCGAGTCCATGGATCTGTCATAAAATCCAGTCCTAGTTTATGTAAATGCTCCCATCTGCTGGTCTTTTTCTGTAATCACATGAGGACAGCAGTGGGCGTGGTTTCCTTTCTGCAGCCAATGGAAAACTCAGGTTCTTTAAATCTCAGGCATTTCACCCGGGGCCCATTTTCTTCACTTTACAGTACAGTATAAAAAATATTTTGAGAGAAAAATGATGATGATTATGGTAGGTTTTATTTTATATTATTTTTTATTTTATTTTATTGTATTTTTATTATTTATTTATTTATTTATTTATTTATCATGGACTTATTTATGTTTTCTTTTTTTATACGACAATTCTGCTGCTGCCTTCAACAACTTCGCTCAAATAGTGAGAGATACAGGGCTACATTCATACCATATTCCATACAAATGTACAACAACTCACCCTTATGTACCAGATAATACTCCCTACAACTGTACAACAACTCACCCTTACATAACGGATAACTCTATGTCCTGTCAATCATCATATAATTGTTGCACTGTCTTCCTATGACCTCTCGTATAAAGCTGTAATTTTATATTTCATTATTACTTATTTTTCTATTTTATTTTGACATGTACATGTATTAAAAAGTTAAACATTCGGAAATGTGAAATGTCACCCGTAAGCAGCAAGCAGGGTTGTCAAAAGAACTGAAAACCATATCATTTAATTATTCATCATTACCAAAACTAGTACTACGATACATAAAAATCATCAAAAGTTATTATTTATTTTTTTTAATCTTTATTTATCAGAACTAGAGTAAGACGGCATCATATACATGTGCATTTAGATAATTATGCCTTATTTGACAGCTGTCTCTTGCTATGTTCTTTTTTATTTTTTATTTTATTTATTTATTTTTATTTATTTATAATTTGTCAAGTTTGAGGGATTGGATACCCAGCACATCCACAACAAGACAGACTTAACCAAATATAAAACTAACACGCATACAAAATAATAATAATAAAAATAAATAAATACATACATACATAAATAATAATAATAATAATAATAATAATAATATATTAAAAAATCTATCTGTCTATCTTCTTTTTTGCTACTAATTTAGAATTTATTACTACCATTTTTATTGTTTTACTCTTTGATATTATTGTGACGTGTGAGCTACTGTGTCCAACTAATTTCCCTTGTGGATCAGTATGATAAGTTTGTCTAAATAACATTCAAAGTGACCCAAAACAAACAAACAAACAAACAAAAAAAATCCTGAAAAATAATTCTAAAATAAACAAGTAATAAAGTGAATTATTGATAAATGAGGGCAGTCGGTCGAAATGCCTGGGGTTTATCGAGCCCCGTTGGTTTGCCCGTTGCCAGGGAAACAGAGCACAGCGCAGTGAGTGAGTGAGGCAGACACAGACACAGACACAGACCGGAGGCTAATCTGCTGCTAACCACGCTCCCGCTCCCGTCCCGCGATGTCTGATGAATATTTAACACATTTTTCCCTTCAATAATTCACATTCACGTTTTTGTTTTCGATCTCCGCCGCCGCCCAAAGCTTTTTTTGCCCCCGGATCGCTAACACCTTCCTCCGGACTAGCCTCTCCAGATTAGCAGGCTAGCGACTCGAACCCTTAATCTTTCATTTACAAACACACTTTATCATTCATCTAAACGCCCGTCTTTGCGTGTGTTTCTCTCTCTCAAACATGAGCTTTTCAGTCTTTATGGGTGTGTGTTAAAGCGGGGGAAGGAGGAGGAGAGAGACCGACGACCGGAGCTCCAGACCCGGTGCATCGGAGAACCCCCAAGCCGCCTGAAGAGCCTCGGATCCGGGGCTGCTGAGATGGAGGATGTGCGGGGCAGGAGGGACGGAGCACATCCACTGTCTTGTTAACTGGATTTAAACAGGTATGACTGGTTTATATGTTAAAAATTATTCGTGTAAGTTTAAGAATTGAACTGAAATTGGTGCTGTTATACTTAAATCATAGCAGTTTTCTTTATATTTAGTGGTACACTGCAAATTTCACTGCAAAGTTATTCATCTTGTTTTCAGATTTATCACCAGTGTTGGGAAGGTTACTTTTAAAATGTATTCCCCTACAGATTACAGATTACATACCCCGAAATGTAGTTTGTAACCGGAATCCATTAAATGATTTAAAGTGAGTAATGTAATCTGAATACTTTGGATTACTTGATTTGCTGTAGAGAAGGCAAAGACGAGGATGCTTAACTGTATGAAAAATATTATTGATAGAAGAGGAGGAGACACGTCCTGATTTAGTTTTTGTTTAGACCTGGTTTAGATCTTGTTTAGACCTGGTTTTAGTCCTGGTTTAGTCCTGGCTTAAACCTGATTTAGATCTAGTTTAGACCTGGTTTTAGTCCTGTTTTAGATCTAGTTTAGACCTGTCTTTAGTCCTGGTTTAGTCCTGGCTTAAACCTGATTTAGATCTAGTTTAGACCTGTTTTTAGTCCTGGTTTAAACCTGATTTAGATCTAGTTTAGACCTGGTTTTAGTCCTGTTTTAGATCTAGTTTAGACCTGGTTTTAGTCCTGTTTTAGATCTAGTTTAGACCTGGTTTTAGTCCTGTTTTAGATCTAGTTTAGACCTGGTTTAGTCCTGGTTTAGTTTCCAGCAATGAGTGGGATTACCAAAAAAAATAAAATAATAATAATAAAAAATAAAATAAAATAAAAATAATGTGAAAACAGGAAAATACCGCCATGTAATCCATTCATTTCAACAAAGTAACTGTAATCCAATTACCACTCACTGAAACAGTAACTGTAACTGAATACAGTTACTCATAATTTGTACTCTGATTACGTAACTCCAGTATATGTAATCTGTTACTCCCCAACACTGTTTATTACCGATTTACAAGTTCTTAGTGCTTATTTCTAGTCTAAAGTAGGGCTGGGTATCATTAAGAAGTTGTCGATACGATACATGTCTCGATACAATGAGCTTTCGGTTCGATATGATTCGATACGATCAATAAACAATAAAGGCTGTGATACTAAAAGTGTTTGTTAAACCACTTCTTGTGCAAAGTTAGTATGGAAAACACACACTTTAATCATCAAAACTGTGAAAATCTTAAATGTGTCGCATAAATGAGCTTTCTTTCTCTAAACAAACAACAAAACTGTAGCTGTAACAGAATAATTTAGTAAAATATACAGAAAAATACTCTTGGCGATATATCGATACTGTATCATCACATTAAACTATACAATATTTTAATATTTTTGCATATCCCTAGTGTAGAGTTTGTTTATTTTAAGATAACTCGTCAAGTAAAATGATTTTGCTGCATGGACACATAATTTCTCTACTTTTTAGTCATTTTCTGATACATTTAAGAGTTTATATCGCAAATTTTGGCCAAGATTTTTTTACAGAACACAGCCTATGTGCTCTTATACTTGTTCTGATTCAGCTCAAGATCATTCTAAAGCTATTCAGGAAAGGTTCATTTGTGTCCTGTAAATTTGACTTAATATTGATCAAATAAATATCTAGTTATGATACTAGTTTTAGTATTGATGAATAGTATCTGATTGTCGATACTTTTGATAACCTTTGTGCTAAACTATAAGATTAAATGTACTGTGAACAATTTTATAGACTTAGACTTAGACAAACTTTATCGATCCACAAGGGAAATTATTTGGACACAGGGGCTCACACATCACAATATAACATAATAAAAGTAAAAATATAAACCGTATATAAAAGTAAAAAATATAAACCGTAATAATAAATTCTAAATAAGTAGCAAAAAGATAGCAAGAGGCAGGTGTCAAATAAAGCCATAATTATATAAATGTAAATGTACAAGTCAAAATAAAATAGAAAAATAAGTAATAAGTACATACAAGTCAAATCACTACACATTACACTATGAGATTAGAACCGAAGTTACCAAGTTTCTATTATGAAATGATTCCGTAAACTGCAATAAACACATACTTAATGTTTTTTTTGAAGGCTTTGAAGGTTTCTTCTTCATTTGGGCTTACATATACATACAGGCATACATATCCAGATACTAAAATTGGTATGGAAACTAGATACTAGATTTGAGCAAGTATCAAAAAGTCACATTGACAGGATAGAAATTAACCTTTCCTGAATATATTTAGAGCAATCTTCGGCTGTATTAGAACAAGTTTAAGAGCACATAGACAAGTATACGCCCATGGACCTACTATGGAAAACTACCTGGACTACGGAGAGATTACACAGATAAAAAAACACACGGAAATATAAAAGTGCTATGTTTTAATGTTGAAAATCACGTTCGATTGTCCAAATAAAGAGTGTTTTTTTTTTATTATTGTGGCATCAAAATCAGTATTGAGTAGGGATGTCACTATATCCAAATCTCTCGGTACGATATTATCACGATATGCATCTCACGGTACGATATTTATTGCGATATTTTGGAGAGGCTGATATAATTGTAAACAGGACACTTGTTTTGCTTTTAAAATACATTGACAAGATTTTGGTGTGAATTATTACCGTCATAATCCCAAGAATTCAAGTAAAAATCATATTTCTTCATGTTGTTTGCACTGAAATGAATCATGGGATATGTAGTTTCCGATGTTTATAAGCTGTTGCTGCTATAAAACAAAGGATTTAAGCAAAGGAACTTGTAATTTGATATTATTGTGAGACTTTTGACGATACAATATCACGTTATTTTGGTTATTGTTACATCCCTAGTGTTGAGTGTTGAATCTCTTCCTTAGTACTGAAATAGAGCTTGAAATTCTAGTATCATAACCACACTACAGCCCACTGCTGCGTGTATTAAAGTGACACGGTCTAGCCTCATAGAGAATAATTATGTTTATTACAGTTAATGGGAGCAGCAGATGCATTCGGACCGAGCAGAGCGATGGGACTTTCCTGTGTTTCTGTTCCATAGAGCTCTAATGGACGCCAATTACACTGATTACAAGTGTGTACTAATGCCTCACACAGCGGCGGCGGCAGCAGAAGGAGCCTTTTCCACAGAGAGGACACATCCAAACAAAGATAACTCACATTCTCCCGGTCACGTAACACCTCATCTCGAGAGACACAGTTTTTCCGGCTAAAATAAGGTCAACGTCGACTTCAAAGTAGGGTTGTTGTGGTGTAGTTCTTTAATGTTTTAAGCGATTCATCAGTTGTTGGGATCTCGGTCGACCAAAATTTCTGCTTTATCAAAATCATTAATCATTTCATTTAGAGTGTTGGTGTGGTTTTACGGTTTTATTTGGACAGGGACAGTGCACAACAATACATTAACCAAGACAGAAGTGCAAATTCATGCTCATTAACACCTGTAGTCCCTGAGCAGGTTGGTGGAAATACTGAGGGGGAAAAAAGAACTGTCATTAACTGCAAGAATAATTATAGTTTTTTCCTTTTCCTTTTTTTGTTGTTGTTTTGCTTTCCCTTCAGCCCTTACGCTTACATCTCTTCCGTTTTATTACTTACCTACTCACACACACACACGTTTGACCTCTCCTATAAGAAGAACAGAAGCCATTCTTTGTTATTAGGTTCTTTTTTAGACCAAGAGTTTGTTTTCATACCTGACAGTTTCGACTGCTCCCTGCGGTCTTTTTCAGAGTCACGTGATGTTGCTGTGACGTGTTCAGTCAGTAGATTTAAACAGGTTTTGGCGCTGTCTTCCTACCGGTGGAGGCAGGACGACAGCGCCATCTGCAGTCCGGCTTCCTCAGGACAGTATCCCAGATGTGTGAGAGTAGAAAAGACCCCTCGTCCCGGTTTATAGTCCCGCGGGCACATTTTCGTATTTCGATTGCTTCTTTAATCCAGCGACGATGTTTGTTTTCCTCTGTCCAATGATGTTTGCTCCATTCTAGTTCATAATGTGGTTCTTTCTTTACAGTGCTCAGAAATGGCTGATTTGAGTTGTTCCTGTTCTGCTTTGTGTTTCGTTTCTCGCGTTTTGCCTTCTCGCATTCTGTCCAATGTTCCTTTTTTCGTGTACTGAATGCCGTCCCTGTTTCCCTGATGTGTGTTTTATTGCAGGACAAGCAGGGTATTTCATATATGGCATTACATTTATGCTCCGATTCTATTGTGTCTTTTGGGTGGATGAGTATTTGTCCACCCAAAGTTTTCTCCTACCTAATAACATAGAATATCGGAAGACCAAATGAACCTCATTGGACTTGAAGCCATTCTTGTTGTCCCTTCAAACCTTGAAGGGACAGTTCGGAATTTTTGACACAGGACCTCATTTCCTAGTGAACCAGAGTGTTGGAGATGTGTGGAGACACTTTTTAAAATATTCCATCCAGTCCTTGTAATTGCAGAGGTCGCTGGTGCTAGACTAGTGCATGTCAATGGCCATAGTTATCCTGCCACTAAAAACAATCTTACCCACTCCACAAAACACCCAAAGTAAATCTATTATTACACCAGACTGTCGATGTAAATGTCTGTGTTGATAGAATAATTTTATAAGTAAAACCAACCTTGCATTTGAAGGATTTATGTCTGAGCAGCAGCAGTGAGTTGTACTTCCTGATAGAAATTTTGGCAGCAGCGGACTGATATATGAGAAAATAGTCCCTCGACATTTGATGATTCATGCGATGCAAGTTTAGTTTTATTTCAAACGTTATTCTATCGACACAGACATTTACATGGACAGTCTAATGTATGCACAAATCAAGTCAATAAAAAATTAATAAATACTGAGAATACAGAGATAAAATGACCACAAAATAAATTAAAACAGATATTATTTTGAGTCACATTGTTCAAATACTATCCTATACTATTCTAAAAACAATACCATACACCGAACACATAAGCACATGCACTTTTAGCCCCTTCCTTCTGCTCTTTATCACATTAATTCCTAATGTGTACAAACTTGTTTAGAGATCAGTCACTTCTTTGTCAGACGTGCAAACATTTGTTAATTATTTAGTGACTTAGTGGACGATTTATTATTTAGAAGCTGGTCTTTCCTAGTATGATTTTCTGCATAATTGAGTGCAGTTTGGATCAGATACTTAGAGATACAGAATAGTTTTGAGAGCTTTAGTTCACTAATTTATCGGCAGGGCATGTCTTTAATCGAGCAAGGATTTCTTTAGTTGACTGCAGACCTCCTCAGCGCAAACTTCTGCTCCCACTCCTCCTGTTTCCAGCCTCTGCAGTCAGTGTCAGTGTCAAGTGGCTCTAGTCTTTAGCAGCAGTAATTAGCCTCGCGCTCGTGTCTGTCTCCCGTCTCGGCTCAGAGGAAAATCAGCTGCAGTGCACGAACAGTTCACCCAGTACTCCAGGTTCATATTATACCCATGTCCCATGATATACCCTACCTCCCACGGGCAGAGTTCGAAAAAGTGATCCATGCTTTCGTGACATCACGCCTGGACTATTGTAATTCTTTATATGTAGGGTTAGACCAGGGCTCCCTGCAACGCATACAACACGTCCAGAATGCTGCAGCTCGTCTGCTGACAAATACTAAAAAATGTGAACACATCACACCTCTTCTGTGTGACCTGCACTGGCTCCCTGTCCTATACCGGGTGCAATTTAAAATGTTGTTAATTGTTTTCAAATGTCTACACTCCATGGGTCCAGTCTACTTGAGGGAGTTACTGCAGCCCTATACTCCCCCCAGAGCCCTGAGATCAGCCGACCAGCTCCTTTTGGTCGTGCCCAAAACTCGGCTCAAGACAAGAGGTGACAGAGCTTTTTCTGTGGCAGCGCCCAGACTATGGAATTGCCTTCCTCTTGCTGTCAGATCCTCTCAGTCTGTAACGCAGTTTAAGACAAGACTGAAAACTCACCTCTTCTCCCTGGCATTTAGTACGAGCTAGTCAGGTTATCTTGGTAGTTTTTAACATGTTTTCTGTATATTTGTATATGTAACTGTTTCTTCTATGCTGTTGCTGTTGACTTGTATGTGAAGCACTTTGGTCAACTGAAGTTGTTTTAAATGTGCTATATAAATAAATTTTGAATTGAATTGAATTGAATTGAATATATAACCAGAAATACTGTATGACCCAGATCTAGGACATAGCTGTTGCAGTTCTGAAATGTGAATTATTATTTTTTATTATTATTTTTTTTACGTCCAACATTACGCAAAATTGAGGTTTATATTATTGCCTTAATTTCTTTTGTTTAATAATGTTTTGGCAAATAGGCTTTTTAGTAGGAAATGAGGGTCAGGAGTGGGGAAAAATATTCACCAAATATTCACCAGTTTGTTTCTTATGTCTCTTACTTGCCTTGTAAATAATAATATAACTACATTTAAAGCTTCTACTGTACATTACACAAAATCAACTTTTTAGCCATGTTATAATGTGGTTACCTCATCAAAAACAGACCTGGAGTTGTGTTTTGTTTCATTCACACGTTTGAGTAATCCTTTATTATTAGTCTGTCTACATATCCAAAGCTGAAAATGTTCTGTTCCACCTTGTGATTAGGGCTGAGTATCATTAAGAAGTTGCCGATACGATACATACATGGATACAGTGCACTTTCGATTCAATACAATACATTTCAAATCGGTTCGATACGGCTCAATAGAAAATAAAGGTCAAATCTTGGCTGTGATACTAAAAGTCTTTGTTAAACCACTTCATGTGCAAAGTTCATATGAAACACAAACATTTTCAAAACAGTGAAAATGTCAAATATGTCGCATAAAAAGAGTTTCCTTTCACTAAACGAGCAACTGTATCATCACATTAAACAATTATCGCTATTTCAGTATTTTTGCACAGCCCTACTTGTGATGTCATGTGGTGGTAGTTTTACAGCTACCTTTATCTTTAGTTCAGTAGAGATTGACAATTCTAGGGCTGCAAATGACCAAATTATTCTCGTGAAGGTGCATTGAGTTTACAAAAACACAGTCGAGCAAGGTGAAATAGCGTTTTTTTTCCGTTTGAGAGAAGAACTCTAAACTAAATCTGCAGGGTTTGTGTGTTAAACGTGTGAATGAAACTAAACACAACACAACTGTGATGAGGAAACAACATTATAACATACAGTAGATCAGAAAATAATGTAATATGGGTGCTTTAATCAAATGGTATTCAACTTTAAAGCCAAAAAATAGGCTAAAATTAAAGCATTTTGCTTTTTTCATTTTGTGTTTATGCACTGAGAACTTTAGACAAACATGTATCTATACGGTGAGTGGACTTGTATCCAACTAATGAGTGTATTTGTGTGTTTCCAGCCGGAGCTCCAGCCCGATGGAGGTGTGCAGTAAGAACCCGAACAGGACAGCTCCGGTGGGGGAGGAGCGCCGAGCCGATGTGCCCCTCTGCTCCAGGACCAATGGCTGGAGCTGGCCCCCGCACCCCTTCCAGATGCTGGCCTGGCTGCTCTACGCATACTTCGCCATCACCGGGTTTGGGGTGTTTGTGCCCCTGCTGCCCCCTCACTGGATCCCCGCCGGGTACATCGTATCCTTCATAAAGCAAATAAATGTTTAATTATAATGCGCAATGTCAGTAATGTTGAATTGTCTTGTCTATTTTCATACATAAGGCACACCGGATTATAAGACGCATTAAGCGAAACAAACAAACGACACTTGAGCCTGATCCTTAGCCCAGGCGTCCATGATGGTCCATGGCAGATCGTGGCATAATTCGCCCGGCGTTGTCTCCCTGTCTTGGTGAATGAGGATTATGAATGTGAATGTGGGTGGATAATAAATTTTTTTTTTTTTTAAATTTCCTACGAGGAGGACTCAAATATACATTGAGTAATAATGTGTTTAATGCAGCTTTGCGCACATTTGTTTACATTTTACAGAAATGAAACTTAAAACCACATGGCTAATTTGCATAAACTATAAGCGCTGAAAAAAACCAACTCTCTCCTTGTGGTCAGCTTCTGTCGAACTACCTCCATAAGGCTCCTGATTACGGTAGCCGACAATCCATCAAGCTTACCAAACTCGTACTAAAACATTTTGACAGATTTTTGAGCTCCGTTTACCTGCATTACCACGTTACACACAGGTCAGTAAACACAACCAGAATTAATACATAAGGGGCACTGTTGATTTTTGAGAAAAATTAAAGGATGTAAGTGCGCCTTATAGTAAAAAAAATACGGTAATATTTATTTACTGTTATTATTTTTGTAACTTTCTCACTAACGATCATGCAACACACAGTCAAGATTATCAGTCAATCCGCAAATAATCATTTATTTCGAGCGTGGCTGTTCAGTTCACATATGACTGTCATGCCAGTTTAACATTACAATACTTACAACAAAAAAATCCTGTATCATTTATACACAACAAAAAAAGTATGGTAAACAAGATAACTGGTTAGACTTATTATAGAATTAAAATTTCCATTCATTTTTCACATAAAATTTCCAAAAATTTTACTAAATGTTTCAAAGCTTAAACAGAATGAACTATGTGCTCTTATACTTGTTCTGATACAGCTCAAGATCATTATAAAGCTCTTCAGGAAAGGTTCATTTCTGTTTGTGAATGTGACTTTTTTAATGTTTATACTTATCCAAAGTAGTATCTGATTCTCGATACTTTTGACAACCCTACTAGATTAATTGTATAACCTCTCAGGGCCTCTGGTTGTCTTCTGTGGTACTAAAGATAAAGATAAAAGGTGTGCTTGGCCCACGTTCACAGCCTGAGCTCTGTTTACACTGAGGAGCTTCAGCTGTAAACATTAAGGGCTAATAGAATACAATGGCCCCATTATTCGACATGTGAGCAGTTCTGGTTTTTTATGCTCCTCCGGCTGCAGCACGAGGATCACACCGTTTTAGACTCAACAGTGTCAAAGTTACAAAAACACGAATTATACTCAGAGCAGAACTGTGGAAGAGATTCTCAGGCAGTTTCTAGGACAAGCTTGAATGTGCTCCATGATTTGCAGCCCCTCTAAAACATTAAAGGACTTAACTTCTAGTAATCGTATCATGTGATAATTTTATCTACATTGCTTTATTATTGTAAAAAGTATAGAAAATAATAATATCAAAACTAGATAATCATTTGAACAAGTATCAATACTAAAAAGTCACATTCACAAACAGAAATGAGTCTTTCCTGAAGAGCTTTAGAATGATCTTGAGCTGTATCAGAACAAGTATAAGACCAGTGTTTTTTATGATCAAAGTGATATTGGAATCAGCATTAAGTATCAAGTCTGTTCCGTAGTAAATACTGTACTGAGTTTGAAATCGTAGAAAAAATCTGTGTATCATTCGTTCATTCCTTTTTCAAAATAAATCCAATCATTAGAAAACGAAAGAAAAACAACTATTTTCTTCATTATTTGTCTCCAAAACCAATTTTCGATTTTGTGTTTAAATGAATAATGGGGAAAAAAAAAACAAATAACGACCGTTTCCTGTTTACGTGACTTAAGCTGCAATGCTGGATTTTTGCGCCGCATACAGACTGAACCAGGACTGAACCAGGTCTAAACCAGGACTGAACCAGGACTGAGTGTCGGGACGGGCCCGGAGGTGCGTCCACGTAGACCGTTGGGTGACCATAGGTGAAAGGACCGGCGCAGAGCTCCGTGCCACACTCTGCTCTCTGGTTTAGTCCTGATTTAGACCTAGTTTAATCTTGGTTCAGTCCTGGTTCAGTTCTTGTTCAGTTCTGGTTTAGTAATGTTTCAGTCCTGTTTTAGTTCTGGTTCAGTCCTGGTTTAGACCTGGTTTAGTCCTGCTTCAGTCCTGCTTCAGTCCAGGTTTAGTCCTGTTTTAGTCCTGGTTCAGTCCGTATGTGGCGCAAAAATCCGGCATTGCAGTTTAAGTCACTATCCATTTTTTCCATGATTCATTTAAACACAAAATTAAAAACTGAAGAAAAAAAAATTTTTAAATTGTTATCCGTTTTTTCATTTTGGTTTTGGAGACAAATAGAAATAGAAAGTACTTGTTTTTTCGTTTTCTTACTTTTTATTTACATGGATTAGACAAAACTGGATCCAAACCACGAAAAGTGTGAACGTACTCTAAGATTATATTTTATTTCTCTATTAGTCACATATTTTTTTTGAAGATTCCCAACAACAGAATGTATATAAATGGACATAACTAACCCCTCAGCCGCCGTGTTCTAAATAGGAAGTGAACATGGGGTTTTAAAATGGTGGTATTAACCCACACTACATGATCCTGTTGTTTTTATTTTACTATTTTTGTCAGTAAATAAAGTCCTAACAGGGAATTTGGCTCCAGATGCCCAAACCACACAACCCCCAATTCGAGAAGAGTGGCTCTAAATGTTCTTAATAATTCTGTGTTTACATTTCCTGCTCCACCTCCGCTGTTTTTTCCTGAGCGCTCCTCTCAGTGCACCGGTGTCCTGTTCGTGTGTCACCTGTGCGTCCACGTGCTCGCCGTGTCCATAGATCCGGCCGACTCGAACGTGAGGAGCCGGACTCACCGAGGCCCCGTCCCCGTGTTCGACCGCTCCAAGCACGCCCACGTCATCGAGAACTGCCACTGCTTCCTCTGCCAGGTCGACGTGTGAGTACCAGACCCTCGCACCCACAGGCTCCTTTTAATGAAAAATACAAATCAATATTCACATGCGTCCTGACCAGTGTTGGGAAGGTGACTTTTAAAATGTATTCCCCTACAGATTACAGATTACATACCCCAAAATGTAGTTTGTAACGTAATCCAATAAATTACTTAAAGTGAGTAACGTAATCTGAATACTTTGGATTACTTGATATTGTCATGCTTTTTCACTTGTTTTGTATATTACCATTTGTCATTTAATAAATAAATAAAAAAATATATATTGTCATGTTTTTTAAAACTACATGAATGTAACAACCACATCCTGAAAATTACTAATACTTGACCACATAAAAAATATTATTGATAGAGAAATTATTTTTATATGAAATCACAATTATGTCCACCTACTGTTAGTGTCATATTGTATTAGTTTAGTCCTAGTTTAGACCTGGTTTTAGTCCTAGTTTAGTCCTAGTTTAGTCCTGGTTTATCCTGGTTTATCCTGGTTTAGTCCTGGTTTTAGTCCTGGTTTTAGTCCTAGTTTAGTTCAGTTCTGGTTTTAGTCCTAGTTTAGTCCTGGTTTTAGTCCTAGTTTAGTCCTGGTTTTAGTTCTAGTTTTAGTCCTGGTTTAGTCCTGGTTTTAGTCCTAGTTTAGTTCTAGTTTAGTCCTGGTTTAGTCCTGGTTTAGTCCTGGTTTTAGTCCTGGTTTTAGTCCTAGTTTAGTTCTAGTTTAGTTTAGTTTAGTTTAGTTCTAGTTTAGTCCTGGTTTAGTCCTGGTTTTAGTTCTGGTTTTAGTCCTGGTTTAGCCCAAAATGTGAAAACAGGAAAATCCCGCCGTGTAATCCATTTATTTCAACAAAGTAACTGTAATCCAATTACCACTCACTGAAACAGTAACTGTAACTGAATACAGTTACTCATAATTTGTACTCTGATTACTTAACTCCGGTACATGTAATCTGTTACTCCCCAACACTGGTCCTGACTATGAGCGGGCTTGCGTGTCCACAAACCTGACTCTCCTCCTGCTTGTCTCCTTTGGCTATAGATTTGTTAAGTGTGATGTCTCTTCCAAGTCAGTGAACATGTTTACAGCTTCTTCTATTTTTAGCAGCAACACATCTCACATTAACAAGAGAGAGTTGTTTAAAGCTGACAAGGTTATTATAAGGATGGATCTATGGTTACAGCACTACAATCTTGTTGCTTGTTTAGAGGAAGGAAACTTTTTTTTACGCAACACATTTGACATTTTCACTGGTTTGATGATTAAAATGCGCGTGTTTCATATGAACTTTGCACGAGAAGTGGTTTAACAAAGACGCTTAGTGTCCCAGACATGATTTAGCATTTATTTTTTATTGAACCGTGTCGAATCAATTTGAAATATTTCGTATCGAATTGAAAGTGCACTGTATAGAGATGTAGAGATAGAGAGACTTCTGAACGATACCCAGCCCTAATGGAGACACAGTGCACACATTTGCAAACACAACCGAAAAAGTTTGCAAGTTTAAAGATAGTCTGAAAACGCAAGAAAAAATCTAAATAAATGGATTTAAACAACACATTTTCAGGAGCCTGTGATCAATACGAGCGTACATGGTCCTGTTTAGGAGCTTGATTTTCAACAAAAAAGAGTGACTAACTGAAAAACTGTGATGAGGGACTGGTTTAACAGTGTAACAGCTCACTTGTTGTAGTTGCAACTAAAGCCCTATTCGCACGGGATAAAAACAATTTGGGGATGTCTGGTAATTTGCAAATTAACGCCCCACCTCTGTGTTACTTGCAGCGCATTCACACGGGATATGCAAAATCCGTAAATAACTCTATTTTACTGACACTGACTGAGAATGAAAGAGAAAAGAGCACAGGAAGCGACGAAAGAGATAGAAAAGGTGCGAGATTATTACATCAAACACTGAGATTCAGATTCAAACAGGACTAGTATTATCACCGGACGTCTGTGTTTGGGGAAATACAGTAGGTAATTTGTGGCTCCACAATTATTACAAGTCACCAAAGATCCAAGGCAAAGCAAGGCAAGTTTATTTGTATAGCAAAATTCGTACACAAAATAATTCAAAGTGCTTTACAGAATAAGAAATACATTAAAATCATAATAAAAACAAATCAAAACATAAAAAGATTAAAATTAAAAAAGAGAGACATAAATTAGAGAGAAGAGTGCGGAATGAAAACCTTTCAGTTATATGCACAGTCAAACAGAAATGCTTTGAGCCTGGATTTAAACAGCGTCAAAGAAGAGGCCTGTCTCACATGTTCAGGAAGACTGTTCCAGGTTTTAGCTGCGTGAACCTGAAACGCTGACTCCCCTTGTTTAGTCCACAGGTAGGGTTGGGCAGTATCCAAATTTTGATACCGTTAAACCTTCTCAGGATTTTACCGGGGTATACGGTATTATCATATAGGCGAGTTTCAGCTGACGTCATTGTTATTAAAAGCCCGCGTTGCATGCTGGGAAATATTTGGGTCGGAGGCAAAAAACACGAAAGCGGTCAAACACAGTGCATAACCTTGCGCATTTATCCCCGATAATGGTAAATTCCTGCTGCATTATCGGATGCACAAATAGAAGCACGGAAGAAGGAAAATGCCTTTTTCGTATTCTGAGTGAAAAGAACCGCTAATGGTGAATTAAACGGCTTTCAAACATTCGCAGAGCAAACATAGAAGATCCTAACAAACCGTGGACTCCAACAAGTTCAACAACACATCGAGACTCTTGGAGGCTTTCATCTTTTCTGCTGTGAATGGCCCAGGAGTTTCCACCAAGTCATTGTGGATATCGCCGAAGTGAATATTTGTCCAGGTAGTTGGCGATTCTGACCAGAAATTTGGTTTGGTCCACCTTTTGTCGGGGTTGAAAAGGGTGATTTGGCTCCATCGATGCTTATGACCAATTTCTGGTCAAATCGTCTTCGGTCCTCTGTTGTTAGAGTGGATAAATAACCGGGATCAATACCCTTTACGTGCTTTCTCGCTCCGTCCTTCATGTTGAATTAGTGTTTCTTGCCGCCGACCAAAATAATTCCCAGCATGCAACGCGTGCTTTTGTCAACAATGAAACTTGCCAATTACCAAAATGTTTTAGTACGACTTTGGTAAACTAGGAAGTCGCACCGCTGTATGGCCTGTGCGTATGACCTGCAGACTTATAATCAAATGTGCGCCTGAAGCCAAAATGCTGCCAAATTGCAGAAGTACGGAACAAAACTAATCGAACGTCATCTCCCCACGCAGTTAAAAGAAACATTACAGACAATATTAGTTTTAAATCGTGGTCGCAATCAATTGAAAATACAACCACACATTCATTTGTGCTGAGCAAACTAATTTAGGTATCAATAAATTATAATATTATATTAGGTCCTTATGCCCTGCAGATTTTTTTAATGACGGTAATGAAACTGATACCGTTGATACTTTTTGATACCGCGGGAAACTGTAATACTGTATTACCACCCAACCCTATCCACAGGTAATACTAATCCTGTGTGAATAGGGCTTTATGGTCAGATTGTGTTAAATATAAATACGAGTAACAGAACTTCAGACAGAACAGTGCCTCTAGTTAGCTTCACACGCCAAGGAAATATGGAATTAAATCAGCTGCAAAGTATGAAAATACATTTAGGATTAAAATATTCACATGAGTTAGACTGTGTGATAAACATGCATTGTCAGTTCAGCCATACATCAGGTACCTTTGCCCTCTCCCTCTTGTGTTTCCGTAGCAACAGTGTGACGCTCTCCTGTATATTTAGTGCTCTCCACAGACAGGTGTCCCAGCAGCAGTCCCCACACTCTGCCCACATCATTAACACGGCCCACAGGGAGGCGTTAGCTTCCTGTTAGCAAACAAGTGTGACGCCAGCAGCCAAAACACCGTGTACCTCCACAACAGCCCGATAGAAGCTTACAAGGTCACTTCAAAGTATTATCACCGCTTTTACTCCTGTAGAATTCGTTTAAAGGCGCTGAATCTGATTTTTACTGTGTTAAAAATGTGAAAAAACAGAACTAGTTCATTTTAAACAGTTTGCAGTGGTCTAAAGTTATTTCTCGCTTTCCTTATGCGTTCTGAACATCCTAATTATTCACTACGATGAGTTTATAAGTACAGAAAACACCCTGTTCCACCTTGTGATGTCATGTGGATGTACAAGAAACTCCCTACTCTATTTTTAAACTCCATGCTCTTTTTCATGTGGATAATTTCAGCTCTGGAATTGGCAGTCTTGACTAAACTGGCCCCGTCCACACTAGTACGTATTCGAGTTGTTTTCGTTGCGGATGCAGTGTTCGTCCACACTAATCCGATTGTAAACAGCTCCAGACACAGAACGATCTATTGCCGCCAGCTCCCACTAATTCATTTGAGTACAGATCTGATCCGGCACCGTGTGGAAGCCTGAAAACGCTGATACACTGATGTAGGTCTATGCACCACGAAGTAATTCACCGCCAAAACACTAAGAGACTAGAATATATGTCCATTGTAAACGGTATATGTTCAGTGTTAAGTCTTAAAGTAAATAGTAGCTGTTTACTTGAAAACTACTGCTTGACAACACAAGGTGGAACAGATCATTTTGATGTTAGTAGTTTCTTTTTTCAGACCAAGAGTTTTGACTGCTCACTAGCGATCTTCCTCAGAGTGGTCACATTATTTCTTCCTACCAGTTGAGGCAGGATGAAAAAGAACCTAATAAAATAACTATAATAATAAATTATTGGAAGACTAAATGAACCTCACTGGACCTGATTGAGAGCGTTTTGAGCTTTGGAGATGTAGACAGACTAACAATAACGGATTATTCAAATATGTGAATGAAACAAAACACAACTTCAGGTCTGTTTTTGAGGAGGTAACAACATTATAACATGACTTCTCTAGGATCAGGCCGATTAAAAGACTTTAAAGGGCACTCTGTTCGACCTTGTGATGTCTCTATTTTTAAACTCCATACACC